TTTACAGCAATTGTATTTGTTTTATTGGAGCCCTACTTATGTGGTGGTGTGTTGTGGTGGTGGAGAAGTGTTTTGTAATGTTCCAGTTAAATATAGCCCTATGTCTTGGGCTGTGAACCTCCAACTGTATCTCCAGTGATATAGCTCCCTCACCCCCACCCCACCTCATACTCCTTTCTTTGGCTGCAGGGTTCTCAATCTATTCCCTTGAAGCACTAAACCCTGTTGACTTTTCCCCCCACTATGTGACATAAGAAGACTGGAAGGGGCTGGAGTGGGAGAAATTCCCTTCCTTAGCTTGGATAAACTCTGGAAGTCCTTTTCTTTGGAGAGTAGGTCTTTGTTATGAAGAAGGCTCTGGACATATTTCACAGTGATTACTCTTTTCCTTTTTCTAGTGCTGAGGGCAGATATTTCTTGGATTTTTACCCTAACTGTGGTGGGGGTCCTGGAGGTAAAGCCTATGAAAGGGCGGGACCCCACTAAGACTAGTCCCCAGGAGTTTCTCCCTCTCAAGTTAGTCCACAGTCAGCATCCAGTGATTCATCATAATTACCATTACATATTCCTACTGGTTTCTAATTCTAGCAGCTTCTGCTCTACGCAAGCAGATCTTGGCTATGTCTCTTTGGATGAGCCTGTCTTATCAGATTTCAAGGTGTCATTTTGTCCTGCAATGTCAGTTTTCAGATGTGTCCAAAAGTCATTGATTTTTAGTTTATCCAGCTTTTTCTTGTTGTAAGGACAGAAGTGATGACTTTCATGCCCTTACATATTGGAACTGAAAGTAGAAGTCCCAAATCTCCATTTATAATCAAGCTTCCATAACATCCCACTGTAATTAGTGGACCAGAGTAGTTTGTTTCAGATCTGCAGAATTTAGCATTATCTTAGAACCAAGTTCCAGTAACTGCCCAAAGTCTGGGTATTTTCCTTTCCTTGGAGTATCAGTCAGTGTTCTTCAGAAACAGAATCAATAGTATATATATATATATCAAAAGAGATTTTAAGAAATTGGCTCATGTGATTATAGAGGCTGGCAAGTCCAAAAATCTGCACTAGCATGCTAGCAGGCTGGAGACCCAGAGAAGAGCTAATGCTATATAGTTCAAGTCTAAAGGTTATCAGGGAAGAGCCAATATTACAGTTCAAGTCCAAAGGCTGTCTGCTGCAGAATTTACCCTTGCTCAGGGGAGATTAGTTTTTTGTTCTATTCAGACCTTCAACTAATTGGATGAGGCCCACCTACTTTTGGAGGAGGTCAATCTGCTTTTCTCAGAGTCTACTGATTCAAATATTAATTTCAATCAAAAACATTTTCACAGAAACATTGAATAAGGTTTGACCACATATCTGGGCACTGTGGCCTAACCATCACACTTGGTAAATGGCCGCAGGTATCTTTCAGGGAGTTTAGGAAGAAGATTTATCGTGTATACATATAGCAGGGTCATAAGATCTTTTCTCAAGTGTTCTTTCTTTTTCTTTCTTTTTTAAAGATTTTATTTATTTATTTGACAGAGAGAGAGACAGCGAGAGAGGGAACACAGGTAGGGGGAGAGGGAGAGGGAGAAGCAGGCTTCCCACTGAGCAGGGAGCCTGATGTGGGGCTCCATCCCAGGACCCTGGGATCATGACCTGAGCCGAAGGCAGACGCTTAACGACTGAGCCACCCAGGCGCCCCTCAAGTGTTCTTTCTCAAGATTCCCTTCATTTGGGAGGCTCTGGGTCTACGAACCAGCTAAATTAAGAAAACTAATTGAGAGGCTGTGTCGCTTTATTTGGGTGACATATCAGGTTTTAGTTTGCCAGATTAAGATTTTCATAGGTTAATCATTAATTAGTGAGCACCAAAGATCCTTGTGGATCAAGCCCAATTAGTTACCACTCTGACTCTGCTGTCCTTTACAGCAACCTTGCCCCCTTTTCTTTGTTTTACTAGTGTTGCCGCTGGCCCCTACCACTCTGGGACTCTATTCTTGCCACTGAAAGCAAGGAGCCCATTTCAACAGTGGCATCTTCTACCATTATATGTGCAGACACAGAAAATACAGAGCTTTTCAAGAATATTACTGCTCCTCTTAGCAATGGATTTCTCAATGTTTAGGTGAAGTGATTGTCCTCTGGGCCTTCCTGAGGGATACAATGAAAGGGTTGAAGAGTACATTGCATATGATGAAACCATACCAACATTCCTATCTCATCAAGCCTTTGGATCCTTTCTTCTCCTCTATTATGCCTAGAAAGTTCTAGTATCTTAACCTAATTTAATGAAGGCCATTGTTGAGTCTGGTTCCAGTTAACCAACTCAGCAAACTCTTAGAGCCACTCCTGACTGATTGAGCTGATACACTGAATCCAGAATCTCTGGTGCTACTAGAATATCAGTAATTTCAATATTATTTTCCTTGGTCCAGAACCCACTCCTACACAGAAATCTTCTAGTGCTGATATACATTAGTGGTATCTTGCTATTGTTTCCCTGTGTAGGCTTCTCCTCTGGTGTCAGGAGTCTTACTCATCTTCCCACAGTATGCTGAGATCTGAGTCTTGTGGATCTAGAGGTAAAGAAGTATTGACATACCTTTGCAAGATTAATGCCTTAGTGAAGCCATTATAAGATCATCAAGCAAGGGATGGTCAGCATTTCAAAGAGGGGATGAGGAACAGCTTTAGCTGTCAGAGGGACTCAGTGAAAGCTGGGGGTTCAAGATAATCAAATTCAACCCAAATTACCAAAATGTCCCTGTTCAACCCAAACTACCAAAATGTCCCTAAAGACTTAGTTTTTAATGAATCCCAAACTTTCACATGTGAGACCTGATACAGCTGTGAATTCAACTTGTATGATAACTGGGCAATCCACAAGATCAAACATTGGGTCTGGTTTGTATATACTTTCTCCCTGCAGCAAAAGAAATTAAGAGATTTGGGCGCCTGGGTGGCTCAGTTGGTTAAGCGACTGCCTTCGGCTCAGGTCATGATCCTGGAGTCCCGGGATCGAGTCCTGCATCGGGCTCCCTGCTCAGCAGGGAGTCTGCTTCTCCCTCTGATCCTCCCCCATCTCATGCTCTCTCTCTCTGTCTCATTCTCTCTCTCAAATAAATAAATAAAATCTTAAAAAAAAAAAGAAATTAAGAGATTTTTTTAGAGTGGTGAAGCTCTTTGGTTCTCTGAACTATCATTTTATCCTGTTAATTCTCCAGGGCATTTGGAAACCACCGGGCCTCCCTATAGTCCTTGTAGATATCATTCCCACCACAGTGGTCTAACCCAGCAACTAGTTCGTCTAGCAAAGACCTCCCTTCAATAGGCACTTAATTCCCCACTGATAATTTAAGTAACTGTTTCCATTTCATGACAAGACTGTCATGATCTCATTTTCCACTAGTGACAGTGTTATCATTTACTTCAAACAGAACCAGGTCAGATAGCTAATCCCAGATTCCTATCTTTGGGGTCAGTTTCCTAAAGCTACTTTTGGCCTCAGATACAGGCTCTGTTAAAGTTTATTTAGAAAACATGGAGTATTTCAAGCAGAGGAGGATTAAAATGCCAGGAATGGGTGTATATAAAACCACTGGAAGGACTGGAAGAGCAAAAAAATAGAGTAGATAGACCACCACTATCTTCTGGTAAACCACTGAAGTTCAATGAGAAATTCCTGTTGCCTCCTATGTTGGAAAACCAAAGGACAGTTCCACTGAGGGACACAGCTGCCCGGCTGTACCAATGTGGGTGGCTGGTAAGGAAGCACTTTATGTCTGCTACCACTCATGCATCTGTCTGCTGCTGTCGGAGAAATAAGAAAATGATTTCTGCTTTATTCCATTTTCTAGTTCTCCCACAAGTTTATTTTGTTGATAGAAGATTAATAACATCCAGAACCCTGGAGCCATACGAATCTGGGAATTATAGTTCTCTGGCTTCTAGTCCCTGTGATACACAGAGTGTATAGACAGGAATAGGGATGGCATCCCACACTGAGGGTATCTCCCAACTTTTATGAAGGCTGTAATGAATGAAAGCCTGTTCAAAGACATTCAACCCAGCCCTTCTAGCTCACCACCTGCCCCTGCCTGCCATATGCACACATTTTGCATACTGTTTTGTTTTATACTTTCCTGCTTCTCTGCCTAGTCTATGTGCCTGACAGCTACAGAACCCAGAATGTGCAGAGGATGATTGAAGGAGAAAGCTTAGAGGAGAAAAAAACAGGTTCTATTTATCTATAGTCTAAGTAATGTTCTGATGACTTCTGTCCAGTCCTATCTTCCTCACAGTAGGACAATTGTAATTTTGAAAGTTCATTCTTTGTTTTTTTAAAATATTTTGATTTTATTTTTAAATATTTTATTTATTTATTTGACAGAGAGAGACACAGCAAGAGAGAGGGAACACAAGCAGGGGGAGTGGGAGAGGGAGAAGCAGGCTTCCCGCCGAGCAGGGACGTTGATGCGGGGCTGGATCCCAGGGCCCCGGGATCATGACCTGAGCCGCAGGCAGACGCTTAAGGACTGAGCCACCCAGGCACCCCTAAGATCTTATTTTTAAGTAGTCTCTACACCCAGTGCTGGCTAGAACTCACAACCCTAGAGTCACATGCAGTACAGACTGAGCCAGACAGGTGCCAGGAAGTTCGTTTTTTACATTTATTTGTCTTTTTTAGAGTGTGTGAGGCGGGGGGGGGGGGGGGGGGGACGGGCAGTGGGAGAGAGAAAGAAACTTTAGCAGACTCAGCGCTCAGCCAGCCGAGGTGGGGCTCCATCTCACCACCATGAGATCAGACTTATGCCGAAAGCAAGAGTTGGCCGCTTAACTGCGCCACCCGGGTGACCCTTGAAAGTTCATTCTTGATAAAAATCTCAAGAGATAGCTGAGAACGTAGATATACAAAATTTTCCAACTAAGATGATAGTACAAAATATATATCTCAATATCTTTTGCATCCCTCCCTCCCCACATCTATATGGGGAGAGACAGAGAGAGAGAAGTGACTCAAGCCTACTGTTGGGGCAATTCTTTCAATGTATAATCTCTTTAAATCCATCAAACTGTGTGAGATGAGAAAACTGAAACTCAGAGGTTGAGTAACTTGCCCACAATCATAACTATAAAAAAACTTTCATCTGCCCATATTGGTTTCCATGAAATATAACCGGGAACGATGCCCTAAAATTAATGAATGGAAACTAATTATTTGAGCCTGGCTTCTCTATCAGAATCATCCTTCATCTCAGCTGAGTTCCCCCAGGCACTTCGCCCGCAGCTGTGCAGCCGGATCCCGCGCCAGTGCGGTCCCAGACCTTGGCCCCGAGCTCATGGATCGCCCTGGTCCCCGCATCAGCCAGAGATGGAGTAGGAGTGACTGAGGATGGCAGGCTCCGGGTCAGGAGCAGGACTGCTGAGGGCCTGAGAAGGGAGTAGGAGAGGGGGCGGGGCGGTCTGTGCCCCGCCCCCGTCCCTCTGTCAACTCCCATTGGCCGAGGCTTTCCTGGCCCCATCCCACCGCCCGCCCGCAGGGCGACGCTTAAAGTGTGCCGAGCAGGTGCCTCGCGTGGAGCAACAACTTTGCGCGCGTGTTCAGGCTGAGCGCTACGCCCATTCATTGCCCACGAGCGCCCATCCTTTTTCCTGCAAATCGTCCAACGATAAGGGGCTCCAGGCAGAAGGCAGCCGCCACCTGGAGGACTGCGACCAGAAGAGGCCGAGAGCGCGGCTGACCCTCGCGGGCCGGGCAGGGGACTGTGGCCGCGACCATGCAGACGTGCGCCAGGGCCTGGGGGCTGCGTTTGGGCTGTGGAGTCGGGGGCGGCCGCCGCCTGGCTGGAGGCACGGGACCGCTTTGGGTACTGCGGGGCCGTGACAGCAGCAGCTGCGGCGGGGACAGCAGCAGGGCTGGGGACTCGCGTCTCCTCGAGCGCCTCCTGCCCAGACACGACGACTTCGCTCGGAGGCACATCGGCCCCGGGGACAAAGACCAGAGGGAGATGCTACAGGCCCTGGGGCTGGCGGTAAGGACCCCACCGGCCTTCTAGGGCCTCATCCCGCGCTGCCCGGTTTCTGCCGGCGCGGCCTCCCGGCCCCAGCCCGGAGCTCCGCTTTGCTCCGCGTGGGACCCGCTCCCGGGTCTGGGGCCCTGGCGTGGAAGCGAGCCCGCGAGTTCGGTTCCTGTGCCCTAGCTTTCTCTCACCCGTTTACTTTCTCCACCCGCTCTTCGCGCCTCAGAACCTTATGTTTTTCAACCCAACTCGCCCTCCTGATGAACCCTAACTTTGCAAAAGGAGGACCTCCTGGTTTATCCGATTATCTCCGGTTGCTGACTGAAATCAAACCTGGAGTGGTGGAATCACTAACCGAATTCATTTGCTTTCCTCCAAGTGATTTCTGGTTTGCTCAGAGTTGTTCTTTTCTTTTTAAAAAAGAAACCCTAATTAGGCGATTTTAAATGAGGTTACCACAAGCCTTTGTAGATGCAAAACACAGAGGTGACTCTTTTAACTCCCGAAGCACTTTCCTCTCCCTTCAGTGTTCACGGACTTATGTTTTAATTTTAGAGCATTGATGAACTGATTGAGAAGACAGTCCCCGCCAGCATCCGCTTGAAAAGACCCTTGAAAATGGAAGATCCTGTTTGTAAGTTGCGGGGAGGGCTCCCTTAGACTCCGCTTGCTCTGGCCTATTTGTCTTCTATGGTCTCTGAAAATCCAGCTCTGGGTTAGGATTGCCCAGGACTGGGAATATGTTTATTCAAATAAAATAGCGGTGGTACCTTAAGGGACGGGAGATGGTGGAATATTTAGTTCCCGGAGCAGTCAGTTCTGTACCCTAGGTTGGAGTCCACGCCTCGCCTTTCTAGGTTTTTATCTAGGCGCCAGCAAACTTCCCAGCGGAAGGCAGTGCACAAACGCGCGTGCAGGACTCCCCACTTCCCAGGCAACCGTCCCTCCCAGGCCTTGGTTCTCATATCCTTTGGGTTGAGAAGTGTCCTCACCTCTGTGCAAGTCAGGATACTCTGAAGGGAAAAAGGAATTGCCTATGATCATACAACTAGGGAAGTGGCAAAAATAGGAGATGCAGACATGTGTTCTCCTAACCCAATTTTCTTTATAGGACTAGAGCTTCACATTGTTTTCTTATCTCATGTCCAATTTCATTACTTACGCCTCGTGTAAGGCAGCAGTACTCTTCAAGTTCAAATGACTTTTATAAGAAAACATGCAAATAAGATTTGTGCTTGGTTAAAAAAGCTTAGTTTACTCATAGAATTAGAATTTTGTTATACATTTAAATATTTTTAATAGTCTGAAGACTGACTGACTTTCAAAGGTATTTTTATGTGAGCACTTGACTTCCATGGGCTTAGGCATGAATTCACACGTCAAAGGATTAGTTAGGCAGAGTTGAAGAGCACCCTCTCCCTCCCTAAACAGGAAAGAATTCTCTTGGAGGTTATCTGGTTTTGAGTCATGGAGATGCTGTCTCATATTTTTGGAGTCAGGTAAAGAGAAGGTACTTTGTTTTGTTTCAGGTTTTAGGACAGAAAGGATATATAGATGGTAAACTTTATTTTATTTTTTTAAGATTTTATTTATTTATTTAAGAGAGAGAGAGAGAGCACGCTCATGGGTTCAAGCCGGGAGAGGAGCAGAGGGAGAGGGACAACCAGACTGCTCTGAGTGCAGAGCCTGACTTGGGGGATCAAACCCACAACCCTGAGATCATGACCTGAGTGGAAATCAAGAGTCAGCCCCTTAACAGACTCAGCCACTCAGGTGCCCCAAACTTTATTTATTTATTTTTTTAAAAAAGATTTTATTTATTTATTTGAGAGAGAGAATGAAAGAGAGGGAGCACAAGAGCGGGGAGGGTCAGAGGGAGAAGCAGACTCCCCGCAGAGCAGGGAGCCCGATGCGGGACTCCATCCCTGGACTCCAGGATCATGACCTGAGCCAAAGGCAGTCGCTTAACCAACTGAGCCACCCAGGCGCCCTATTTTGTTTTAAAGTAGACAACTTGAGGGGCGCCTGGGTGGCTCAGTGGCTTAAGTGTCTGACTCTTGATTTCTGCTCAGGTCATGATCTCAGGGTCGTGAGATGGAGCTGGTGAGATCAAGCCCGGCCTCAGGCTCCCGAGCTGGGTGTGGACCCTGCTTAAGGTTCTCTCTCCTGCCCCTCCCCCCTCCAAAATAAAGTAGACAACTTGAGATATGAAGCCAGTGCAGATCCAGTGGGCTAATGTAACTCAAACTATGATGAGGACTGCTTCCCTGGTTGGTTTCAAATGTGAACCATTTCTCCTGATGGCAGGGACCTTGCCTTTAGAAGATAAAATAGCACATATAGTTCAATTGAACTGATTGAGACCTAAGGATAGCTGGAAGCCTTATCTATTTCAATTTTAGGAAATAATAATTCTGATTTACTGGATGTTTAAAAAGTGAAGAGTTGTATGTTTTTGTAAGGATTTATTCATTTATCTTAAGGGGGAAGGGGCAGAGGGAGAAAAAGAGAGAGAAACTCAAGGAGACTCCCCAATGCAGGGCTTGATCTCATGACCCTGAGGTCACCATCCTGAGATCAGGACCCTGAGCCGAAATCAAGAGTTGGTCGCTTAACAGACTGTACCACCCACGTGCCCCAAGAATTTATTTATATATAAAGTGAGCTGGGAGAGGGACAGAGGGAGAGAAACTCAAGCAGATTCCCTCACTGAGCAGGGAGCCCAACATGGGGCTCGATCCCACAACCCTGAGATCCTGACCTGAACTGAATCAAGAGCCAAATGCTTTAACCCACTGAACCACCCAGGCACCTCCTGAGTGGTATATTTTTATTTTTTTTTAAAAAGTTTTTATTTGACAGAGAGCACAAGCAGGGGGAGCAGCAGCAAAGGCAAAGGGAGAAGCAGGCTCCCTGCTGACCAGGGAGCCTGACCCGGGGCTCGAGCCCAGGATCCTGGTATCATGACCTGAGCCGAAGGCAGACGCTTAACAACTGAGCCACCCAGGTGCCCCAACTGAGTTGTATATTTTTATTTTTTTATTTTTTTTAAAGATTTTATTTATTTATTTGACAGAGAGAGTGCGAGAGCAGGAACACAAGCAGGGGGAGTGGGAGAGGGAGAAGCAGACTTCCTGCTGAGCAGGGAGTCCGATGTGGGGCTTGATCCCAGGACCCTGGGACCATGACTTGAGCCGAAGGCAGACGCTTAATGACTGAGCCACCCAGGCACGCCCGAGTTGTGTATTTTTAAAGCAAGCCTTAGGTAATGCCTTTCTGAGACTTTCAAAGTCAGAAAATGTTTAGGTCAGCCCTTTTTACAGTATACTCTAAAATAAGATGTTTTTTAAGAGCATTAGAGCCTAGGAAACACGTCAAAGTTGTCTATCTAAAAAAAAAGTTCACGGCGCCTGGGTAGCTCAGTCGTTAAGTGCCTGCCATCGGCTCAGGTCATGATCTCAGGGTCCTGGGATCGAGCCCCGCATCCGGCTCCCTGCTCCGTGGGAAGCCTGCTTCTCCTCCCACTCCCCCTGCTTGTGTTCCCTCTCTCGCTATGTCTCTCTCTGTCAAATAAATAAAATCTTTTTTTAAAAAAAAGTTCAGCTACTCATTTCCAGCTGAATAATGTGAACATTGGGGAATTCCGTTTCTCCTCCTTTCTCTCATTGGAATCAGGCTCCTGTTAGTAATTTGCAACTTACCTTTAAACTTTAAACTCAGTGGCTTCTGTGAGATTTGGGGCTGGTTCCATCTGGTTATTCTGAGGTGGCTCAGAAAATACTGCCCAGTCAGGAGGTCCCCCTGCCACCAACCCCGCTACTTTCTTGCCTGTAAGTGGACTGGCTCTCTAACAAAGCTTGCTTCTTGGAAGAGTAAGCTCTGCTTAGTACAGGCACAGAATGTGTCAGACAGGCATCAGTGTTTTGCGGTGTGCACACATCATGCTTAATGAATGTTTTCCACCTGGGGAGAGGAAATTGGTCCATGTAACTTCCAGTAGTAGCATTTCCATAGTGGAGCAGCATTATCCAAATGGTTTAATGTTGAATGCCCATGTTCTGTTGTAGTCAGAGAGGAATTCTAGACCCAATATTTGTTCACTGTATACATAGGAAACTAATAAGAGCTAGTTAGTTATATGAGTCTTAAATGCCTTCATTGCTGAGCAAAAAGAAGACAGAGCTATAAGTACCACAGAGATACTTGGGTTAGTTTTTACACATAATTTAATAATCTCAAACATTTATGTAGTACTTACCATGTGCTGGCCACTTTTAAAAGTGCTTTGCATGTGTTAGTTTAGTCCTTAGTACAACCCTGTGAGGTAAGCACCATTATCTGTTCTAAAGATAAAGACATCATGGCATACAGAGGATATGTCATAACGTGCAGTGGAGACAGAATTTGACTCAGGCGGCCCAGCTCCACTGTCCACCCTCTAACCACTAGTGTAAATCATTGTCTACACTGTTTACAGATATGCACAAACCCAGTCATACCAGATTCCCCCTGCCATTTGCCAACTGCTCTGTTGGAAATGCAGTGGCATGCTGAGAGCACAGATGTGGGAACACTCAGCCACTAGGAGGGAGAGGGAAGGGGTCACAGGTGCAGGACTAGGTTTGGGTATTGAAGGATGAATAGTGATGTTCTGCTGGACAAGGCTGGGGGAGGCTGCTGCAGGCAGAGGGACTATCATGTACAGGACAGAGTGGCCTGACAGAATCAAGAAAGTACAGATGATTCATCTGTTGTGAGGATGCTCCCCTCCCCTTGGACATTTAAGTGCTTTGAAAGAATACCTTGATTATCAGTTGGATTCTCAGTAAATCATGCTTCAAAGAAATAAGGAAAACTACGCAATTCAAAACCCTGTTGTCATCCTGTTCAAGTGAATCCACCCTCCTTCACCCACATACACACATAAAGAAAAAAAGTTGAAAGGATATATGTCAATGGGAGCATTCATTTCCCTGGATGGGCCATGATGGATGATTTTAGCTTTCTTTTTATTCCCTTGCTTTTTCTAGATTTTCTACAATAATTATATATTTTGTAATTACTACCAAATTTAAAAGTACTTTATGAACCAACCCAATCACTTTTAGCTACGGTGTGCCTTGCTGTGTAGTATTTTCAGTGAAGTCATCTCAAGCTAACCAGACTGAATTAGCTTATAACTTCACAGAAGCTGCAGGGTGTAAAGTTTACACAAAATTGCACATTGCTTATTGTGAGAATGCTTAGGAAGAGAGAGAAGAAACTAACCCCTCTAATGTTCAAATTATTCAACCAGAACCAAGCAGCTGAGCTGTCACAATGAGACTTTTGACGAACTTGTGGGAACTTAATGTTCTAAGCCACATCATTTAGAGTGGTGTTTAATAAATGGTTACTAGAGGGGATGTTGTGTAATGCAGCTGCAGGTGGTGACTGTGTCACCTGGGTGGGGTTGGGCACTCTTCTGCACTGACCTCTAGGGCACCTAAACAGAATAGCTGTTCCCCAGACTGTGGATGGCAGGTGTCTTTCAGCTGGATGACATACATCACTGGGTTTTGCCTATAGAGTTTGTGACAAGGCTCTCCCTTGCCCTATTCCTGACCAAGTTACCAGCTTATATGAATTATTTTA